TTTATATATAATACATAAAATTTGACTTGTAAATAAATTGTGTAACTATTATATATTTGTATTATGTAGATATATTCGATATATATTGTTAGTTATTGATTTTTATATAACTGGCTATATATCATTTATATTTTTAATCAATTTCTATTATTTGATAATTAACCAGATATATATCGATATATATTATAATCAATGATAATCAGCAGAGATTAAAATCGATATATATTTTTGGGGCTAGTAATCGATATATATCTATATATAAATTTTGCTGATGATGCTAATACCTTGCCAATATCTTTCTTTATTTGATTTAAAGCTGCTTGTACTGCCAGATTAAGAATATGATCAAAGCATTAAAACCAGAGTAGTTCTAAATTCTATTTAATATTTTCTTCATTTTTTAATTTAGTTTCTAATTCACGAACAAAAGTACTATTGTTCGCAGCATTATCTAAAGTTATAGCAAGAAGCTATCAAAAAGAAAAGTCAATTTATTAGATTTATGATTATATATATAGATACTGTATAGTACTATATACAGTACCCAAGTTTTTAATAGCAATTAAGATACTGTAGGATAGTATAGTAATAATAAAAATTAATTGATTCAGGTTATTTGATTAGTATCATAATACCTTTTAAAGATTACCTAATACTATTTAAAAGAATACATTTCTAAATGCAGCACTATATGGTAATGCAAAACTGAGTTTTTTTTGTTTTATTTAAATTTAATTCTAAGTTATAAAAAAGGATTTGATGTATTGAAATAATATTTTAACATATTATTTAGATCTACTATCACGTGTTTTAAAGAATACGAATATCTGAAATCACAATAGAAATAGTTTTAAATGCCAAGTCATCAGAAATTTAATTGATCAATATATATAAAAAAAAGCATTTTTAAAAAATAAAAAGAACCTTTGATATAATTCCATAATTTTTTATCACCTTAAAGAATCTATTTGAAATATTTATTCTATCGTGTTTACCATTTAACAAACTGAAATCAATTAATATTTCCTTAAGTGTCCAGTCTTCGTCAATATAATGCATCGTAACAGAAATAAAAGCTTTGTTGTGTGGAGATGTCCAGAGGTCTGACATGAAGGAAATCTTAGAATTAATAGTGAAAAATATGTCTATAATAATATAAGTACATGGTGAAATTTCTAATAGATAAGTATTTGTAAATTCACAAAAACAAAAGCATAACTTCGTAATTCTGGATAAAAACTACAAAGTTATGCTTTGTTTTAAATAAAAAAAATACTTAAATTTTTAAAAGCTAATAATTAGAAGGCATTCCAGGTTTTCAAGCTTAAATTACATAAGCACCAAAGAATTGATGCGACTACATACAGTACGTATATAATTTGTATATATAGGCATTTTAATACGTCATATTTCACTATTTTCTCTTCTTTTTTCCACACAACTTTCTTAAAGAAACTTTAGACCTCATTTCCATTTTTTTATTTGCTAACAATGTTATTATTATTATCATGATTAGTACCATGATCAGTATCATGGTCAGTACTGTAATCAGTATCATGGTCATTATCATTATTTAATATAAGTTTTTCTTGTACAGATAATAAACTCATTGTAGAAATATTCACACTTAGGTAGTCAATATTGAGCACAAGAAGTTTATTAAGATAATTTTTTCTAAAAGCAACTCACTAAATATATTGTCTTATATACTACTAATCGAAAAACATTGCAACTACATGATACATTTGTTATTATAGACCAGGGCTGAAACAACTTATTAAAAATAATGGCTATTCAATACACCAATATCCAGTTTTATAGTAGTACTTAAACTATTGCAAACAATCCCAGTTTTACTATTAATATGAATCAAGATGATAGCTAATATTTCAATAAGTTGTTTCAGTTTCACTTTGAACTATACAGGTGGATAATTTAGACTAGTATGATTTTGGTAATGTAATTGAAAAACAATTAGCTGAGTAGCCAGAACAACAACAACTTGCAAAAGTAAAAATTGTGATTATACTAAGAGTTGTAGCAAGCAAGCTGTAAACAAAAACATAACTCGTGAAGTTTATATTACATTAATCATTATTATTATGCAAATTATTAATTATTACCAATTAAGATAGTTTATTTTAGTTGCTTGGTTGTAAAAATCATTTAGAAAAATCATTTGATTGTTTGGATTCTTGATTTATTCAAAATTTGTTTTGAAATGTAAATCATTCAACAAATTAGTATCAGATATCAAATATATTATATACGTACATATATATATATATATACATGCATGTATAACTTATATAAGTGTATGAGAATGAAAGACTAGAAGTAATAATTTGGACCTAAAAAAATTATAATTGGGTAATTTCAGTAATATGATATTGAAATCAAACTACCAATCATAATTTTTTTAGGGTCCAAATTTTTACTTTCAGGTTTTCTCTCTCATGCCACTCATATAATGAAAACCAGGAAATCAACAAATATGTAAAATTGCGTGACTCAAACTTTATTTGCCAAATCTAAGTAAGGCTAGTATCAAATTTAAATCCAGTTTATTTATATATACATATCTATTTTTTTAAATTAGAGGTTCAGATTTAGGATATAAACTGGTAGCAAACCTAATTAAAGTATGAGAGCATTTACTGATTATGCAAGTGGATTTTTCCTTTACAATAATCTGTTAATTTTTATGTAATCTAATCAAAATATGACTAAAGCGTATATACATATTAAACATACATATCATAATAATTAATATACATAATAAGTATTTAAAATTAAACATAGGTCCATGAAATTAATATTTGCATCTGCCTAAATTATTACTAATATATAATTTAGAAGCAAGTTTAGTTATTATAATTTTAATCACTTTAAATTGCAAATGCTAACTTTAAGCATAAGGTATAGTATTTTGTAAAAAACTATATTGCGATAAATTATATATATATTTATATTTATATAATATACAACAATCAAATAGTTTAAATTGTTTAATATAGCATTTTATATTATCCAGACTCAAACATGTTTGCAAACTTCAAACTGAACTCAAACCGAACTCATAAGTATGTTTGAGTTTGGTTCAAGTTTGATATTATAAGTTTGAGTTTGAGTTTGAGTTTGAAATTAGTAAAATTTAAAGTTTGAGTCTGGTTTGAAGCCGGACCAAACCTGGTTCGAACCGGACCCGGACCAGACCTAGGAGCACTAACTTATACTAAAATTTCTCAAGAAATTTTTTTTATTAAAATACAAAAATAGTTTTATAAGTAAAATTTCAAGATAAAAGCATATTTTAAAAATATGTAATTTTAACAATACATGCTAACTGTTTATGTAAATTCGATATAACAGATGCTGATTAAATAAAAAGCATAATTTCCAAATCGAGTAGTAGATATATAGATGTATGTGATGCACTAGTGGTATAGTTTGGTTCAAATTTTAATTAGCAATAAATATTTTAAAATATAGAAAACTTCTTTTGTTTCTAGACTATTTGCAGAATTACTATCCCAATATTTGTAAAGTTTAATATATTGAGGTAATGTACTTTCTATCTCTTAGAAAATAATAACAATAATTATTTTATTTATTAATTGTGAGAGATTATTGTGAAATTGGCTGAAGCTGAAAATTTGGGGTCTCAATTTAGATTCATAAAATCTACTAAAACTTATTTATACATGTTTATTATAAATTCTACCCATAAAGCTAACTCCTAACTCTAAAAAAAGTCAAAAAAATATATCCCAAAAATTTTAAAATTTTTATAATAAAATAGGTCAAATTTTTAGCTTTAGCCAATTTCAGCTTCAGTCACCACATTAATTATTGAAATAATATTCTTTTACTTAAAATTTTTCAAAGGATAATACCAAAACTATAAATATCAGATTTTTTATTATGTTTATATTCTTGCTTAATAAAATATTAGAAATTAATATATATTATCATTTTTATACATGTATGTCTAAATTAACCATCTTAATAAAAAAGTAATTATAATATTTAGATAGCCAAAATTAGGCTTATATAGTACTAAAATTAATTTTGTGTTTGTTAAAAGAGATAATTTATATATTGCATAGGCAATGTTGTCACCCTAATGATCAGGTGTAATGTAAAATCAAAACAATGTTTTTTTAATATGGTTAGGGTTAGGGATAGATACAGTTAGAGTTAAGACAAAGACCAGGCTTTATAATAAAATTTTGCAAGAAATTTTTTTTATTAGAACCCGAAAGGTGGTTTCATATTCGATGTTTTGAGTTATAGGCAATTTTTGGCAAAGTGTTCATTTTGTTTTGAATTTTCCACCTGTATAACATTACACCTGATCTTGAGATTCGATTGGTTGATTATATAAGAGTGACATATAAGATATGTCGCATTGGGGTGATACATAAATGTACTCTTGTTAAAATTATTGCCAAAATTTTTTGAACTTTTTTCATTAAAATATATTATATAGTATGGCTATTTGGAGGTTTTAATATAAAAAATTAACAATTTTAAAATATTTCCAAAAATACTTTTTTTCAAAAATAATTTAGACATATACGTATAGTCATTTTGCAAACAATCAAATTTGAAGTCATAAATATCTCATTTATCTGTTTTAATAGACTAAAATTAATTATTTTTGATAGATCAGAATATTCTTTGAATGCTATAAAATATACCAAAATATTAATTACTATAGATAAAACTAGTAACATATAAAAATAGTGTATATACAAAATTTCTATTAATAATATCAGTATTATATAAAAATAAAAATCCAGATACTATTTTCTTAGTAATAAGTAACTTGTTTGTTTAATTATAATAAATATTCTTAATAGTTGTTTTATACAAATTTAGAACTTTTAAATTGTATATATACCTTTTGTTACTCCATAGAACTAAATAATATTAGGATGGTAAAACTCTTAATATAGCTTAAGCTTTCATATCAGAGGTAAAAATATAGAAATTTAGTATTATGCCAAAAAATAATACAAAGTAGTAATGTCAAAATTTTTTTAATAAAATCTTTAATAGATGTCAATTTTCTGACATTTAAGGGCAACTATTAAATCACAATCTTCAATTTGTATTTAAAACATTTCTGAAACCACTACTGCCAATAAATGTAAAATATATAAATTTATTAAATTTAAAATTATTAATATATCCTCTGGAAATAGATTTTTAATCTATTCTTTCAGTGTTTTTTTTATGATTTTTGTATACCAAAAAAAATATATACAGTACACATGAATGTATAATGTAGATCTTATTTATACTAACTGACTACATGATACTGCAATGTGATATGGCATTTAGTACTAGAATGCATAATGGTGCTGTGACCTAGAATAATCATGATTACTGTTACTTGATACAGTATCCTGACATTCTTTTAGTTCTAAACTACTGATTCGAACTCATTTACATTAAGTTTCAAAATGCGAAGAAATACAATGTGAAGCATGAAAATATAAAGAAAATTTCCTTGACTTTGACTTCCCATGAAATAACAAGAAAAGAACAATTAGTACGAATAAAGAAAAATAAGAAAGAAAATGAATTAAAGAATAAAGAAAAAGAGAACAATTATTGTAAAAATTATTTAATTACCAAACAGCACGTATTGAGTAAATTCAAGGTTCGTTGTCTTGAATTTTTTATCCTGAATTTTTGCCTTGAATTTTTGGTTAGTATTTTCTGTTAGTAAAAATTAAACAAAGTTAAAGTAACAACATGAAAATCTACAGATATATTGTTACTGTTAAAGTTTGTTATAATAAAAGAAAATAATTTGATAAGCTATAATATCAAACATACAAAAAAAAAAAAAAATACGAAATTATTTTATAAAATCTAGAACATGATCATGCGGATGGCTTTGCCGCCTATAATATGCTAAAGATAATAAATTTATTTGTTTGATTCTTACTTTTATTTCGGAAAGAAAATTTTTTCCATCATTAAATGTCCATCCTGAATTTATTACACCAATTTGAGCCTCTTCGGGGCCAAAGCTGGCGCATTAAATTTAAAGCATTTTCTTTCGCCATTAGATGTTTTATCTAGAATTTACTGCACCAATTTGGACCCCTCCGGGGCAAAGATGGTGTATTAGATTTAAAGCATTTCCTTTCCATCATTAGATTTTCCATCTTGAATTTAATGCACCAAATTGGGCCCCTCCGGGGCAAAGTTGGTGCATTAGATTTAGAGCATATCTTTTCCGTCATTAGATGTTCCATCTTGAATTTGATGCACCAATTTGGGCCCCTCCGGGGCCAAAGCAGGTGCATTAGATTTAAAACATTTCCTTTCTGCCATTAAATGTCGCTACTCAACAATATGGGGCCAAAACTGGTACATTAAATTAAAGCTTTTATTTGTCATGTGAAACGATAAAACAGTTACTGGATGTTATACATTCAATATATTCTGATTGGATATAAATTGCTATTGGTAAATGAATATAGTCACATTTTCAGAATCTGGCGAAGCATGAAATTGACCTCCGCTGTGCAGATAGAATGACAAATCACGTAAATTTTGTGTTGGTCAGGGGCTGAGGAGGCTGAGTTCA